TCCAAAAATCTGCATCTATGGAAGTTAATGCTTCTTGCAAACTTTTGGGGATCTTCGAGGGTGTAAATTGTAGTAAAGTCATCACCAAAATCATTGTAGATTCTAGGTCTTTTACTTCTTCTGAGTTCATCATCATATCCAACATCCTCACTATTTCCGTTATCTCTAATAGCATGTAGCACATTACCTCCACTATTTCTCGTTTTAAATGGAAATCGTGTCTCAAAGAAATTAGCATCAATGGATTCTATTATAGTAAGATCATTCAAATCATAGAATCTATATATGCCTTACTATTGGCAGCATAGCCAACGAAGAGACATTCATATGCTCGACTAGCCAACGTAATCATCTTAGGATACAGAATTCTTACGTAGGCCAAACAACACCACGTTCTTAAATAGGACATATTAGGTGGCTTATTCTTCAAGATCTCATAGGGTGACTCTTTTCTATTTATTTTTGGAAGATGATTTAGCACATAGCAAACCGTCAACAAAATATCACCCCACCAAGATGAAGCAGCTCCAGAATTGAGCATAATAGCCACGACTAATTCTGTATACGTCCTATTTTTTCGCTCAACTTTACCATTCATTTCTGGTGAATATGGTGTTGTGATTTCATGAATGATACCATGTGAGCTATAGAATTCCTTGAAGGGATTAGATTCATACTTTGATCCTCTATCATTCCTAAGTCATTTTATTTTTCGATTGCACTGATTTTCAAATTCAACAACAAATACCTTGAACATATCAAGGGCCTCGCTTTTGTTTTTCATCAAATAAACAAAGCAATAATTAGACTAATCATCTATGAAAGTGATAAAGTATCTCTTGCAAGACCTAGTTAATGTCCCATCTAGTTCACAAATATAAGAATGAATCAGATCTAGGGGTTCTGATTCTATACTCACAGATTTATGTAGCGTTTTTCGTTATCTTAGCTTGGCTACAGAAATCACATTTATCAAATTCATTCATTGAGAGTTTAGGGATCCTATCTTTCTTAAATTCTTCACAATTCGTCTTTTCACATGACAAAGACGAGCATGCCAAACATTCAAATCACACACCATGTAAACTGAAGAATTCATCTTATTAATTTCGACATTCAACTTGAACATCCCATTAAATGCATATCCCTTTCCCACAGAACTCCCATTCTTAGTAAGGGTATACAAGTCACCTCCAATAGATTGATTACACCCAACCTTATTAAGAAGATATCTTGAAACAAGATTCTTCCTTATTTCTGGAGTGTGCAACACATCTTTGAGCCCCATCTTCTTTCCAGAGGTAAAGTTCAACTCCACTTCTCCAGAACCAACACCATAGTGGTGTGGCAGTCCACAACAACACTTTCTTGTCAGTAGGTGCTTTTGTGTATGTCGTGAACATAGCACGATTGTTGCATAATGCTTCGATGCACTTATATCTAGCCACCATCCTTCTTAGTCACCGGTGAGGTTGACTTCAACAATCATATTTGTGATCATGGCCACCAAGTCCTCTTCTGTCAAGTTAACCCTCGCTGTAGCAGCAGGGTTAGTCTTGTTCCTGCACTGACGTGCCATATGACTTTGTTTCCTGTAGTTATAGCAGTGAAACGGAATGTCATTGTGTTAGGATTGGACCATAACCCTTTGGTTGCCCCGAGGGACACCATTCTGGTCGGGGTGAATTTTCTGGTTTGGATTCTTTAAACCTTTTTGGTTAGGTTTCAGAGATCTAGGGGTGGGTCGTTTAGCATTGACGACCATCACCTCTTCTTTCATATCCTGGTTTACGGGACTCTTCCTCTATCCTTGGGTGAGTAATCAAACTTCAAGTGAAAATTCTTTAGTTTTATGTTTAAGCATATTCTTAAAATCTTTCCACGAAGGGGCAGGTTATAAATAATGCAAGCAACTTGAAACAGATCGTCCAGTAGGGATGGAAAAAATATCCGTAACCGTGGATATCCACCCAAATCCGACATAATCGGGTAGGGTAAAACCCGAACCCAAAGGACTTTTAGTGGGAATGGGTAAAACCCGAACCCGAATATTGTGGGTAATGGGTGGGCATGGGTTTTTCACTATCCAACCCGAACCCGCCCGATTATACACATGCATATGTATTTTGTCCAATTTGATGAATTGAGGGATCCAAGTACTATTCCCTGCAATATCCTGCTCAGTATGCTTTGAATTGACAGTCTTTATGGTGATATGCCACCTAGGGAGGTAGTGTAGCACTATGGAGGATGTTGATGCATTTAAGAAGTTTCCTTTCTTCTTCATATTGTGTTGGTTGATTGTGTGAATTAGTGATCTTAGGACCCTTGAATTGTGTGTTATTATGGACTCTCTACTTGTCATGGACTCCTGTATCATGTTTTGAAAAAAAGGGGCTCTAAATTGTGCTTTTAAAATAACGTCTCTCGTGCGAAAAGGGTGAAAGTGTGTATGGGGAGACGGGAATCTGTTCCCAATTTCCACCTACTACCTTCAGCCACCTTACATTTCTTTCCCCCGCATGAGGCTCGAGACATCTGCTCCCGGCATGGCCAGTAAGAGTCGGGCTCCCTCAAAACCTTTAATAGGTGGGAGCCCTGTTTTCTGGAAATAACAGAGTCGGGGGTGCACGTTGCTATAGAGGTCTGGAGAGCTGCATTGGTTTGAGTCAAGTTTGCTTGGGGACAAACAAACGGTTAAGTGTGGGGGAATTTGATGACTTGATATTTACACATGTTTTTGTCCACCATTCTTATATTGTTTGAGCCTTGTCTCTCGTGTTAGGCCAATTTCACGCTAGGTTGTTCTTGTTTGTGATATTTCAGGTCATAGTACGTGAAGGAAGGTTTGGGCACGAGTTCGGGGTCGATTGGACGAAGTTGGGACGTTTGACGAAAAGCCGAGGGAACCACACGGGCTGACCTAAATTCCACACGGCCGTGTGACTTGGCCGTTTGGAACACCTTCACGCGGGCAAAGCCACACGGGCCGTGTAAGGACCCCTTTTGGCCGTGTGGAATGTCCAGAGAGTTCACACGGGCAGGCAATATTTCTACACGGCCGTGTGGTTTTGGCCGTGTAGCGTACCTGGAGTCACTAAATCGAACGCGGCGTTTTGGAGAGCCACACGGGTAGCTGGAGATTTCACACGACCGTGTGATCAAACAGAACTGAGTTTTTAACCCAATTTCGGGTCTTTGAAGATGGACGCTTTTCCAGAATAAGAAATAAAGTCCTAGAGAGAAAGTGTGAAGAACAAACCCTAGGAGTGATTTTGGAGCTAGGTTTCATCAATCAAGCTTGGATGTCATCCTTGGAGTGAAGATTATCATCCCAGAGCAGATTCTTCCCATTGTTATGAGTATGGCTGCTTTGTATCCTATTTTCCTCTCTCTCTCTCTCTCTCTCTCTCTCTCTCTCTCTATGGAGTAGAACTCTCTCTCACTTGGGTATGAAGAACCCTAGTTCCATGTGTTAGGGATATTGATTGTAATGACTTTTGGATTGATATACTGTTTGATTATAATCGATTGATGCATGATTCATTGAGTCAATTGAAGCCTGATCAACTTTTCTTGATTTCTGCTGCAACCTGAGATAGATAGAATCTGATTAGGTTGTTAGAGCTTCTTCAATCGGTAGTAGTGAAACGATTATATGAGAGTTAGTCGATTCATTGCTTTGTACTTGAATCCAATTCCAGTAGTGGAGTTATGTATTAATTGCCTCAGCGTTCTATCTCGTTGAAGACTAGTCGTCTGCCGGGCATGGTAAAGGAAACCGTACCGGACATCATACCGGATTCCTTTCTGGTATGGTATTTTGTGGTACGACCGTGGTTCAACCATTTTGTACCGGTAAATATCGTTTTTCACTATTGATAGAGAAATGAAATGCGATAGTATAAAAAATATAATCCATCAAAAAAAGAACCAAATAGAGCATTATACAACCACGGTGACCCATTTTCAACATAGAAAAATAGCAAAATAATATTCTTTTTAATTATTTTCCACATATTGGACGAGAATACGGAGAAATGAAGCTGAATCATAGACCAGGAAACCGGATCATACCGTCTGGTTCAACCGGTTCAACCGGTCAAGCCGAAAAAACCGGCCGGCAAGGTAAAATCAGCACAATAAGCCCACCGTACCGCTTTTGGTCCAATTTCCGGTTGAACCGGTTGAACCGGCCGGTACGATCCGGTTTCCTGGTCTATGCTGCCGGGTAGTCTGTGTGAGAGGGCTTGGTCAGCTTAAGAGATTCCAAGCTACTGTCGGATCTTCCGCAGTTTAATCAACAGTAAATCAACCAAATGAAATTACAACTTTGACCTAACTAAGTAGCTAGGGGGACTCATTCCCAAGTGACTCTTCCCTTGCTTAAGAACTTCGAACCATTTCCTGCTTTCTTACTGCTTTTGTTTGCAATCACTCTCACTACACTTAGTCCCGCTATATAACAGGTAGTCATGGAGTAGGCAGTAGATCTAGACCTCGGGTTGATAAATTGAACTTGCCACTATTATGCATTTCCATTCTGCGATTGCACTTGGTCGCAGTTTGTTATTGTGTTTTAGCGAGTCCAGTTTTGGCGCCGTTGCCGGGGAACTCTAGGTTATTGTAGTAACGTGAAAGTCTGTTACTTTAGCATTTTTCTTTTCTTTTCCACCCTTGTTTTTCACTTAGGTGTTATGTTTTTGTTGGTGCATATCTGAAACATGGATCCTCATGGCTTCTCCAACCATTAGGACGGACGACGCGCATGCGCACGTGTGTGGTGGTTCGTTAGGTCTTCTCTCCACAAAAGTGGGTCACCCCAAGGGGCATGGTCTTAGGTGAGAGAACTCAATCTTTATACCCCTTTGGTAGGAGTTCTCCCACCAATATGATATTCTAACATTGGGACCTATAGTTTTTAAAAGCTATTCACTTATTCATTTCCAACAAGCCCACACCACAATCTAAAATGATCATAATCAGATATGAAGGTATTGTTACATTAAAGCTCGTTCTCCCCTAATCCTTCTGGTGAGCTGAATGTCCTTAGGCATAATGGTGACCCTCTTGCCATGAACGGTGCACAAGTTGGTGTACCCAAAGAGATCGACCAGGTATGCCTCGGCGGCTTCCTGGAGAGCAAAAACAGCAGAGCTTTGGAACCTAAGATCGGTCTTGAAATCCTGTGCAATCTCGCGAACCAGCACTAGAAGGGCAGCTTGCGCATCAAGAGCTCGGTACTCTTCTGGTACTTTCGGATCTCGCAGAGGGCCACGGTTCCGGGCCTTCATTTGTTCGGGCTTCTTGACTCCGCTGGTGGCCGGAGCGGACTTCCTCGGCGCCTTCCCTCCTGTGGACTTGCGAGAGGTTTGCTTGGTGTGGGCCATTTTCGGAGAATGTTGTGGATTATTAAATATGCTGGGTGAGAGATTTGATTTCGGTGACGATTAGTGGGGAGAAAGAGGGGGGTTTATTGAAATGGAGAAGTGGGTGCAAGCAGTGTCTGCAGTTACAACTTACAAGGAGTCAAGGATGGATGGAGGGGTGTTCTGTTTTCTACGGTGGCGATTGGGATAGAGATCGGATAGATGATGCATTATCGACGACTGCGACCAATCTTGGAAGATTGGCACATATGGGTGATGTGTGGGGCTTATTTGAAATTTTGGAATTTGGTACAAGGTGAGAGCGGGAAATGAAAAGAAGCAAAACCGCAAAAGTAAAAGCAAATTGGATCACGGTTTCATATTTTGTAATATGGTTCAGTTTATACTAATATAGTTTTTCAAATGCTAATTACACGTTTCGACACTTCATTTATATAAATATTTCATGTTTGTCACCTGAATTAGTTTTCTTTTATATTTGTCGCTAATTTTATGAATCATTTCACAGTTAGTCGCTACCCGTTTATCTCCGTCAATTCGTACCGTTTTTTTATGACGTGGCAAACAGATTGCTGGTTAGACCATTAACTAATGACATGTCAATTAAATAAATAAATAATATAACAAACAATTGACTGGCGATGTTAATGGAGACTGACGGAGAGTAACAAAGAGTGACTAAATATGGAAAATTTTACTAATTCGAGTGACCAACATTGAAATTAAATATTTCGAGTGACTTAACATGACACTTTTTTTTAGTCAACTCTGTAACCATGCAATTTATCCGATAATTAATGGAACAAATCCTGAGCGATTCTCTTCAGCAGAAGCAAGCTTTAACGATAGCGTCAAGCAATCCGTCTTGAGAATAAAGGATGAGCAGTGGAACTGCTGCGCTAATTGGGCCCCTAGTTCAGCTGCTATTGCTTCCGCGGATTCAGCTGGCACTGTCCCAGGGACGTTCCTTGTTGCTGCCAACACTAAATTTCCATCTCCTCCCCTTATGACTATGCCAAGACCCGTACCTCCTCCCGTCAGAATCCCAACGTTAGTGTTGAATTTTAACTCACCATTTCCCGGTCTCCGCCACCTCTTTTCAATATTGCCTTGTTCGGTGTTTACTTCCGCGGTAGGTCTCTGATGCTCTCTATAATCATCCAGGAACGCAAAGGCTCTAGGCACAATCTCATTTTCGTTGAGTTTCTTTCCATTAAAGAGTTGTGCGTTCCTTTCCTTCCAAAAGAACCATAATAAGACACACCACCTCTCCAACGCTTCATCATCCTTATTCTTCATGACATCCTTTAGCCACCCATAGCAACCATTGTTCGTATGGTAGCGGAAGCAGTCCCCCACGGGCGACACCCTCCACAGTCGAGACGTCCATGCACACTCGCCAAATATGTGGATTTGGGTTTCTCTTATGTTGCAAAAAGGGCATCGATCACCCCATTTTGTGTTGCGAGTGCTGAAGTGGTCCCCCGTCGGTAGCGCCTCCCGTCAAACCTCCATACAATATGTATTACGTTTAGTGGGATTTTCATTTGCCATAGTCTGTTCCAAATCGCTGCTTCGCCTTGTGTCACAACTCCATGTTGATGTTTGAATCCTTTCGGCCATTGGGAATATCCCTCCTTCACAGCATAGTTAGTAAATACTCCGTTTAATACACGTATATGTACCTGTACATATTTTACCGTTTAAAACTTCCGTATCCGTATTATTATCAAGCCGTTTCATTTGTTTCCGTTCATTTGATGTCTCTCTTAAAAAAACACGTATAATGAAACGACCCGACTCTTTTTGAAAAACAAACCATAACTCAAACAAAAAACCGGATATTCGGAGCAACCAAAACCACATTAAAAAAAACTGACATTATTTAAGAATTTCAAACGAAAAAGCCCTAACACTTGGGCAAAATCGCAATCTCGAACACTTAAAACAACTTAACATAGAATCTCCAGTTTATACTACTAACCATGCAACAAAGTAATTAACTATTCTAGCTCTGACTCCTCATGAGCTCCTTGACTTCTCATCAATGCTGGTGCGACTGCTCGCCACGCGTTGTCTCTTCTAGAAATCCTCATCCGCTAACCCTTCCTCAACCTGGTGAGTGAGAAGGGGTCAGTCTTGTCGTTACTTCCTAAGGTCTTTGCCCTAAGCAACCTCCTTACTAAAAACACGTTATTAGTGGGTTTCCTTCCTAAGACGAAAGTCGTTCTCGCTTTTGTCATTAACAACTTTATTTCAAAACCACTAATAGAAGATCTTTACTCCTATCTATCTATCTATACATAATATTATGGCAATTCAAAAGTAATTGTTTGCCACCTAAGCACTTGGAGAGCTCACAAATTGCCAAGGTGGATAATATTTTTACTAAAAGAAAAATAGTTATTGATATATTTATGGAACTATCTCTCTCTTCATTTAATATTTCATTTCCCTTTTATCCTTTTTTTTTGTATTATATCAATGTACACAATAATAAATAATGTATGAAAAGTGACATATATTACATTTGTTATTTCTAATTTATTTAATATTTATTTTTCTTTTCCGATACTTCTTTTATGTTTTTGTTTTTACTTTTGCATAGTATAGATGTACGCAACAATAGACTAATGTCTTTGAGTCACACATATAACTTTTTTCTCAACCAAAATAATATTTTTAACTCATTTTTACAATAATTTACAAACATGTTACATTTTGATGAACAATTTATACAAACACACATACATAATAACATTTTATCGCGACAAAATAACGATGGAAATTAAAGAGAGAAAACAAGAAACTTTTGAATAGAAAATTGACCAAGCAATAAAATCTATTTCTTAAACAAAAACCTTATTCGTTCTAATTAAGTGAAAAAATACGAATCATAGGTGCAATAATTTACAATGTATCCTAAGTTCAAATTACTAATATTTTGCATTTTTGCTCTTGATCGTGTTAATTTAGCAACTCTACTGAAGTTTTACGTCATATGTTAAGAAATTTAATTTTCAGACGTGGAGTAATAAATTTTCAAGGATTATAAATAAAAAATTTTAAAAAGACTTCGGTATGATTGTTGATGAACTTGACTTCATATCTTAAGATGAGACACGAGATACATTAAAAAATGATACATGTGAAAGTTAGATGAATCTTTGCTACACTGTATGTTAAACATCATGTGTTCATCAACCATTGACCTATGAAGCAAGATTAGAGAAGTTAATCATCGTAAGAGGTATGATCTTTCTTAGCAAACACATGCATTTTTTTTTTGCAATAAAACGCATGCATAAATAATTATATATTTATGAAATAAAATAATTCGATAGAAATTCAATGGAGCAAGAATAGATCACATTATTGGATAAATGAAGATGAAAAGTAAGAATAACTTTTCTCTCACTTATAATATGTCCTTCCATCCCTTATTTTCTTTTACAATTGTCCATATTTCCCTTATTTTCTTAACATTTTATAAATCCCGATAAAAAACAAGCATTAATTACACTTAAAAATAATTATAAACTCTTTTTAATATATATGCTTATATATTGACCATAAATGTGGCAATACAAAAAATGCATATATTAGTATAAGTAATGAAATTTTTATTTCTAAACAAATACCAAACATAAATAAACTTTAGAAAACGAAGGTTCTACAAGTTGTAAAATTATACACTAACGCACCATATTAAGATCAAAATCCGTATGTGGGTATCTTGGATTGAGATTCTAAAACAATATATAAACAACGACAATGAGTCTCAGTTAGTCCAAATTAAATTTCAGAAATTAGCAATTGATACATATTGTATAAGAGACTATATACAAATAAGATCTTACAGTAAACTTCATGAATATTCAAAGTGTCAACTTTAAATTGGGATGAAGAAATTTATCCAATAACGAAGTATATATACAAAGAAACTCTCTGTAAGATGTCCTCATATGAACAACATGGATTCATATAAGATAGAAAAAATTGTACATGGACTTCATGAATATTCAAAGCGTCAACTTTAAATTGGGATGAAGAAATTTATCCAATAATGAAGTATATATACAAAGAAACTCTCTGTAAGATGTCCTCATCTGAACAACATGGATTCATATAAGATAGAAAAAATTGTACATGGACGTGGTATACCTTTGTGACATGGTTTATGATTAGAGAATTCAAACAGTATAAGTGAATGTGCTAAGTATTGAGAATTTTCAATATATAGACACAGCACATACGTACTCACTTATCAATACAAAATATAATAAATTTAGAAGGTCTAAAATAGTTTAAACATATAGATAAATTGAATTAATGTCAACGATAAAATGAAACTCTCCGGCCAACGGCCAACGGGCCGGGTAAAAAGCTAGTCTTATCTTATAGAAGTTCTCAACTTCTATCCTTAATATTTTATTCCGACATAACTCATAGAAGTTCTCGACTCCTACCCTTAACTCAAACACAAGACACTAGGACCACCGCGTTACGTCTCGCCGTCCAGTTGCATATCCAAATTTGGCAATGGCACTGCGTTACGTCTCTTTGTCTTATCCATGCCTAGTCAACTACTGCGTTACGTCTAGCCGTCCAGTAGTGACCCCATTCCTAGCTCCCAGATCTCTTTGTACGTACAACTAACCACCCATAACATAACTATAAGCAATTCTAGCTGGCTTTGCTTGTAAGCCACCAAAATCCATTCATATCCTCCACTCATACGAGTATAATCCACTCAAGTCCATATATATAAAGCTTGTTTTTGTACCCACGTGACATAAATGCATATATGTCCATTCTATATATTTCATGGACTTAATAAATCATAGACAACTGGTTCATTCCACCTAACCTTTCACTTCTATATTCTGAACGCAATAATTATCAATCCCATACCGCATAGAACAAATGTATCCATTGAGCCCAAGGAATTACCTACAGATTGAACGCACACAATCGCCTGCTTCACTGCTCCAGTTCTTTCTTTGACGATCGCTTCCAACACAACACAAGCATATGGTGCAGGCTACGCCCCATGGGTGCCACGCCGACCAGGATATCAGAGGCGTCCATTTCCAATGGTAACAAAACTATCCGCCTCTTCCTAGCTATGCCGTGTCCTATGCCGTGTCCAATTAAATCTCTTTCCCAACAGGAATTTGCTAGTGGCGTACATCGGTAGGAATCCTTCCTTCCGACCACTCTTTCACCTAACCAAGCGGCTTGTGTTGTGCGAGAGGAGGGAGGAAGCGAGATGATCTGGGGGTCTCAAAATCTGCGGCTACTCTCGCTTTAGCTTAGGTCGCCTCTTCAGTTTCTAGCTTAATTAGGTCATCTAAATGGTAGGGGGATAGAGATAACCGAAGCAAAATGAAAAGGACGGCTTCAAATATGATTAAATGGTAGGTATTTATATTTAGGTTTAACTAGAACTAGGTTAGGACCGCACTTCGTGGGCGGACTGATCAACTTGCCTTTTTGTTATTAAAGGGAATAAAAAGTGAAACTCAGCTTAAAACGCTTACTATTGAGTAAATAAAAGTTTTTTTTTTCAAATTGGATTGGACGATGAACTAAAAAGTGAGTAATTTATGGTTCAATTGTTACCCATGATAAACCCATTGCTGAATTATTTAAATAACCATTTATAATTGTAAATGAGAAGACAATATATAAATATAATTTACTAATTAGGGTAGACAAAGAAGGCAGAGATGTAAATAAAGAATGAGAGATAAAAGGACAACTAAGGAAGTAACAAAAATCATTATGGCATTATTTAGTTTATAATTTTTTTGTTTTTTCATAATATTGTTTTTTTACAAAGCATTCAACCAGGGAACTGATTAGATCATAGCGGGATTTGAAATTCAATGTATAATTGATCAATCATAAAACCAAAATAACTTTGTAATTGGTTCATGACTCTCTTCTATCAAATAAACATGTGCTCTACTGTAATCAAAACCTAAGAATAGTTTAGGTGACAGTAGTGCAAATTAGCATTACTCTTAGGCAACAGTAAAATGGCTTTAAGTTTATATATATTAACAATTATAATATCATTATTGAAACCATTGAGGGCAATTTAGGAATTGAAGGGTACATTTTGGGTATGTGTGCGACAGGCTCGATTCGACTAGCTCGTTTATTGTTTGTTGAACCTAAACTTGAAAGTTGGTTGTAACATTTCCTCCACCCTTATAAAAATTTCGTCATCGAAATTTGCTTGAAACTCATTCCTCTGTTAATACCATTCTGGTACCTCCTTTCCTCAAGAATTTACTCTCGCTTTATGAACTTTGATGATGTTCGTTGCTTGTCCCGTATAGTTTAGCTCACCTCAAAATTATTTCCTCTTCACAATAAAAGATATTCTCAACAAGCTCGCTAGCATCGTGTAGCTTTGAGTGGCTACTTATCCTTTTTAATTCCCCCGTTTGGGTGATGGAACATAATTTTTGATTCAATTTATTGTTCTAGCTCAGTCAGTACTTGTTGTTGGACCTTAAATCGAAGTAGAGCTATCACATTTCCTCCCCCCTTAAGAAAAATTTCGACCTCAAATTTTTTTAATCATGACTTCTCCAAGCCTCATTCTTTACATCGTCTATCTCGTTGAGTGACTCACCATTTTCAAAACTTGTCGTCGGCCTTCTTGAAGATTTATCGGGCTCCCTAAGACCTATTCTAATTCCTCTTTTTATGCTCCTATCGTTATTTAAAGTCTAACTTCCCGCTGCTCCTTGGGTCGTAGCCCTACGCTCGATTCTCGTGAACTCAACGAACCTTCCGTGCTTCCTTCCCTCTAAATAATGGCAGTCATTTGCCGTAACTCCTTGCCTACTGTTTATCAATGTACTAGATACTTGGCATCTTCCTGGACCTTATACTGATCGGCTCACATCCCCGTAGGATACGTGCTGCCTTGAACCTCCTCTTCCCACTCATGGAAAGGGTTTCACTAAACTATCCTTATAGGAATGTGTTTCCTCTCCTTCCCGAGTTGTATCATATCCCCGTGGAGGCCTCCTAAAGTTATTTTCCTATTAATGATTAGAGTATACTGGAGATTCTAAAATCCTTAAAAGAAACCGTGACTCGTTTGGCCAAACCTTTAACCTAACACCCTTTTCCTTTCCTTTAAAAACAGAAACCTTGAAGAACTCAGATCGTCACTCCAGTATTCCTTGGAGGGCAAGGAACAGAGGAGTGTTGGCTCTGATACCAAAATGAAACAACCCGACTCTTTTTGAAAACCAAACCATAAATCAAATCGAAAACCGGTTAATCCGGAGCAAACCAAACCACATAAAAAAACTGACATTATTTATGAATTTCAAAAGAAAATGCCCTAACACTTGGGCAAAATCTCGAACACTTAAAACAACTTAACACAGAATCTCCAATTTATACTCCTAGCCATGCAACAAAGTAATTAACTATTCTAGCTCTGACTCCTCACGAGCTCCTTGACTTCTCATCAATGCTGGTGTGACTGCTCGCCACGCCTTGGCTCTTCTGGAAATCCTCATCCGCTAAGCCTTCCTCAACCTGGTGAGTGAGAAGGGGTCAGTCTCGTCATTACTTGCTAAGGTCTTTGCCCTAACCAACCTCCTTACTAAAAACACATTATTAGCGGGTTTCCTTCCTTAGACGAAAGTCGTTCTCGCTTTCGTCCTTAACAACTTTATTTCAACACCACTAATAGAAGATCTTTACTCCTATCTTATCTTATAGAAGTTCTCAACTTCTATCCTTAATATTTTATTCCGACATAACTCATACAAGTTCTCGACTTCTACCCTGAACTCAAAAACAAGACACTAGGACCACTGCGTTACGTCTCGCCGTCTGGTGTCCTACCATAGTATACGAACCGCGTTACATCTCACCGTCCGGTTGCATACCCAAACTCGGCAATGGCACTACGTTACATCTTGCAGCCCAGTCCATGCCCGGTCAACTACTGCGTTACCTCTCGCCGTCCAGTAGTGACCCCAACATACTCGATCAGCTGTTGCGTTACGTCTCACCATCCAGAAGTGATCCGACCATCTACCGCGTCCAGTAGTGGCCCAACCGCCCGGGGGTTCATCTTACATACCAACATACATCACATACATAGCACAACGCGTGCCTCCACCTTAAGTAGGCGTGAGATTCCTCTCACACATAATCGCGCTTACTTGAAAATAACAAACATGATTGAATTAAAAGACATAAACTGAAAGACCTCGACGGATATTTTACCCCCTTTATACTCACCTCATTTTGTAGGTGAAGATCATGATCCATAACCTCGATTGGTTTGCTATTTGTCCTCTGCTAGACGCCATTGTCTTAACCTCGTTGTGCTGCATCATTCAACTCATCTAGAACATATCCCATTGTTAGTAAATGGAATAGACTAACTCAATTTGCAACATAATGCCCTTAACCCACGGGAATTAATCAGACCCATTCCTAGCTCCCAATCTCTTTGTACGTACAACTAACCACCCATAACATAACTATAAGCAATTCTAGCTGGCTTTGCTAAAAAGCCATTTACCCATTTTTAGCTCTTTTTTTGTGCTCCAACCCACATTATTTTGGGAAGTTAAAAATGGGTATTGATGAATTGGGAGCCAAATTTAGCTCCCAAAAGAGTGGAAAAGCCAAATTTGGCTAGAGAAAATGGTGGACCCGCGGCGGGTCCTCCTTTATTTTTTATTTGTTTCTGTGGAATTTTCTCATTGGTTGATTGAGTTGTTTTCCTTTTTTCTTTTTTTGTGTGGTATTTTGTCATTGGTTGATTGTGTATGTTGTTTGTTTAATTGTTTGAAAGAAGCTATGAATTGTTGTGTGTTTAATTGGTATTATCTCAGTGGTCCCGAAGTTAACGGTAACAAAATAATGAATAATTTTCCGAAATATTTTTTGTCTCGGAATTTAAAAAAAATTACATCGAAAATTTTGTTTTCAAAACTAATAACTAACTATAGAATAATTAAAGTGAAATATGAAAATTAGAGGTCAAATAAGTATGGTTTATTGTAATAAATTGAAAAAAGGGAGATGAGAAGCGAAATTTAGCTTTGTGTAGGGTTGGAGTGAAAATGGGATTTGGGGAGCTAAAAAGCCAAATTTGACTATTTGGGGAGCCAAATTTGACTTTACGGGTTGAAGTTAGTCTAATCCACCAAAATCCATTCATATCCTCCACTCATACGAGTATAATCCACTCAAGTCCATATATATAAAGCTTGTTTTTGTACCCACGTGACATATATGCATATATGTCCATTCTATATATTTCATGGACTTAATAAATCATAGACAACTGGTTCATTCCACCTAACCTTTCACTTCTATATTCTGAATGCAATAATTATCAACCCCATACCGCATAGAACAAACGTATCCATTGAGCCCAAGGAATTACCTACAGATTGAACGCACGCAATCGCCTGCTTCACTGCTCCAGTTCTTTCTTTGATGATCGCTTCCAACACAACACAAGCATATGGTGCAGGCTACGCCCCATGGGTGCCACGCCGACCAGGATCTCGGAGGCGTCCCTTTCCACCGGTCACAAAACTATCCGCCTCTTCCTAGCTATGTCGTGTCCAATTAAATCTCTTTTCCAACAGGAATTTGCTAGGTGCGTACATCGGTAGTAATCCTTCCTTCCGACCACTCTTTCACCCAACCAAGCGACATGTTTTGTGCGAGAGGAAGGAGGAAGCGAGATGATCTGGGGGTCTCAAAATCTGTGGCATTTCTCGCTTTAGCTTAGGTCGCCTCTTCAGTTTCTAGCTTAATTAGGTCGTCTAAATGGTAGGGGAAAAGAGATAACCGAAGCAAAATGAAAAGGCCGGCTTCAAATATGATTAAATTAGGGCTGGGAAAATAGACCAGACCGTTAGAAAAACCGTGGTCCAAACCGTACCGCACAGTTTGGTCCGGATCGTAGACCGTGAAGTATGGTCTGGTCTGGTCCATGGTCTGTATTATTTTATGATTTGATCTCTTGGTCTGGTCTGGTCTAGACCGCGGTTTACCGGACCAAACCGTTGATCCAACTGACTTGTCAATACGTGTTAACAGCCCATTCGACCACTCTCCAAACTCCCACAACCACACCCAAGTCTCAACCTTAATTTTGTGAATCTCTTCCCTCCTTCATTCACAACCACATTTAACCACAGAGTAGAGATAATCGTGTCTCCATATGACATTATGTTAATGTTTATGACATTATGGTGCAAGCTGGGATGCTTTTACTTTGTATCTTTGTTATGTAATAAGATTTAGAGTATCAAAATTATTCATGCATATTAGGAATAATGTTTTAAGGCAAATAACAATTATTTTTCTTGGTTATTGGTTCAATTTTTTGTGTGATTGACTAAACAAATTATTTATTTTTCGTTGAGTGTGGTCTATCTGGACCAGACCAGACCGAACCAGACCGCACAGGCGTGGTCTGGACCAGACCGTATAGTCTGTGGTCTGGTCTGTGGTCTATATTTTAGCCTCTCGGTCTGGACCGTAGACCGTATATATGGTCTGGTCTGGACCAGACCGCACCGTTTCCCAGCGGTATTTATATTTAGGTTTAACTAGAACAATTATAAAATCATTATTGTAACCATTGAGGGCAATTTAGGAATTGAAGGGTACATTTTGGGTATGTGTGCGACAGGCTCGATCCGACTAGCTCGTTTATTGTTTCTTGAACCTAAACTCGAAAGTTGGGGTGTAAAATATAATACCCGTATAACACGTTTAATATCTATATTTAATGAATTAAAATATTAACTTTACTATTATTTTATATAATTATAAATTTAAAATAATTAATTTCTTATATTTATTACTATTAACGTACTATTAAACGTCATTTGCTTAGAGACGAAGTATAATACCCATACATATTTTATACGTAACTTTCCCGTACCATATTTTACTAACTATGCTTCACAGTATACTCACCCTTCTCATTTGGCACCCATATCAATGTGTCCCTTTCTCCCGCACCTCGCAGTGGAATTTGTCTAATAGCTTGTACAGTATTTGCATCAAAACAAGCTTCCAAGAGTGCCTTGTCCCATTGTTCATTCTCCGGGTCAATGAGTTCTCGAACTCTCTCACCTACTTCCAGGCCTCTAGGCACATCCATGATAAAATAAGGGTCCTGCGGTAGCCACTTATGCCCCCATATATGTACTTCTGCCCCATCTCCAATCCTCCACCTCAGCCTGTCACATAAGAGTGCTTGTGCACTCATAAAACTGCGCCAGATGAAGCTTAGATGGTATCCCATCCTTGCATCAAAGGTAGAGGAGTTCTTATGATACTTAGCTCGTAATATGCGTGCACTTAGTGAGAAAGGGCGTTGGTGGAGCCGCCATAACTGTTTTGAAAGCAAAGCAGCGTTATAACCATGCAGATCCCTGAAACCCAAACCTCCCTCCGCTTTGGCACACACTAGCTCCTCCCTCCTGACCCAGTGAGCCCTCCTTTCCGATCCTCGATCTCCCCAGTAGAAATTCGTGATCATACTGTGATTCTCATCCAGGATACCCTCCGGAACCTTTAAAACAGACATGACGTAGGTAAGCTGAGCTTGCGCCACTGACTTGATCAAGGTCTCCCTACCTGCTATCGAAAGAGTTTTTTCCTTCCATCCCTTCAACTTTAGCCTCACCCTCTCCTTCAAACCATTAAATATCTCCTTCTTCGATTGCCCCACCATCGTCGGAAGCCCCAGGTATTTGTCATGTTTATCAACCATTTTCATCCCGAGGACCCCTCCAATTGTGAGTTTATGGTGCGGTTTGACGTTCTCGCTAAAGGAGATCTCCGACTTCTGGAAATTGACCATTTGTCTCGACTCTTTCTCATATGCTCGAAGGATATTCTTAAGAGTAATACTCTCCCATTCAGTTGCTCTGCAAAAGAAAACACTATCATCAGCAAAAAAGAGGAGGGTCACGGTTGGGGGCCCCCGCGCTGGCTCCAGACCCTTTAGTTTTTTCTCCTGCAACGCCTTCTTCATGCTTCTAATAAGCCTTCGGCACATAACAGAAAGAGATAGGGGGATAGCGGATCCCCCTGCGTGATCCCTTTGCTAGGTGTGAAACTCTCCGACTGGTGACCATTGATAAGCACTGAATACGTCACCGTTCTCACGCACATCATTATAAGCTGGACCCACTCCTCTACAAAACATAGCCAAGCCATCGTGGCCTCCAAGAAATGCCATTCCACCCGGTCGTACTTTTTGGCCATATCGATCTTGGCTGCAAAGTAACCTGTTTTCCCTTGCTTGTTCTTTTTCATCATGTGAAAACACTCAAATGCTGCTATTATATTATATGTGACGACCCTTCCTGGCACGAACGCACTCTGCTCTTCCGATATCACTCCATCTAACAATGGTTTTAGCCGATTCGCTAGTACCTTGGCTACCAGCTTATAGATCACATTGCACAAGCTAATTGGCTTGAAATCCTCAGATGAAAAAGGAGACATCACCTTCAGGATTAAGGCAATCAGCATATGGTTAAGGTTCGACACCATTTCTCCTCTCTCCAGAATGCTAGTCACCATCACCGCCACATCTCACCCACCACACTCCAGTTCTTCTAAAAGAACAGCACAGAGAGGAGAAATCCTCAGATGAAAAAGGAGACATCACCTTCAGGATTAAGGCAATCAGCATATGGTTAAGGTTCGACACCATTTCTCCTCTCTCCAGAATGCTAGTCACCATCACCGCCACATCTCACCCACCACACTCCAGTTCTTCTAAAAGAACAGCACAGAGAACCCATCCGCACCAGGCGCTTTACGCTACCCCATATGTTTTAGCTCACTAACTACTTCCTCCCGACTAAAAGGACATAATAACTCCGCATTCTGTTCCGCTGTGATGACAGGTTGTACCGAATCCAGGATCGGTGTCTCCTGTGGGTGCATCCCCGCTTCAAACAGATTTCGGTAATAATTCAGCATACATGTTGTGATCTCTTCGTGGCTTGTAACTATCTTCCCATCTTCCTTCATGACCCGCCGAATTGTGTTTCGTTTTCTGCGGGCAGTAGCTTTCTTATGGAAGAAAGTCGAGTTTTTATCATCTCCTTGAGCTAGTCCGCTCGTGACCGCTGCTTCCAATAGTCCTCTTCCCGTTCCTATAACTCATCCAATTCTGTTTCCAGCTGTTTCATTTGTGCGAGAACTGGTTCCGATTTGGGACCTCGTTCAAGGACCCTCACCGCGCGCCTGATTTTCTCCCTTTGCTTGGAAAATTTAGAATACTCAATCAGGCTCCAGTCGCTCAGCTTGGCACGACACAATTTCAGCTTGGACATCAA